AATGTTAATAAATCACCTTTATACTCACGAACTAATTTAATGCGAATAAAATAATTTGAAGGGTATTAGATAAGTAGTTAATGTATTAAAGATTTATTAAAAAAAAATTGATCACAAATTAGTAAAACCTATATTATTTTATCTCACAATCGAGTAAGACACATAAGGCTAAAGAAGACAAGTACAAAGAGGTTTTAGAACAGTGTAGTTAATGTGAGTGTAAATGTGTAAATAAAACCTGATAAAAAAAAAAAACAATAAAATAAAAAATAAAAAATTATTTATAATGAAATATTATGAGCGATTCCTCACAAAAATTTAATAACAGAATAATTGTTGCGGTTATTAAAAACTGTTAAAATTTGCTTTTCATTATCAATACTATATTTAGATTGTGAGGGTCAAGATTCTCCACGAAGTAAACTTTCAATTTGCAGTTCAGTTTTATTTTGCTCCTTGCGCATTTTTTCAATAATAGTATATACGCTAACATGTGCTCTTCCTACAATTATGTTCCATCTATTGTGCCATGCCTCTATGTTGTTTTGGGTCCTGAGGTAACCTGCTTCAACAAGCTCGTGAACAGACTATAAGGTGGGTAGAAATAGTGGTATAGAACGAAGTACTGATCCATTTTGAAGTTGTCGTTGTACTCTTCCATAAACATAAGTTTCTTCAAAGTACTTAACAATACTGTTTGTACTAGGAGGCAAAATAGTCTTAACATGGTCAAATACCAATGGAATTTCTGCTGAAAGCAAAAAAGCAAGTGCAGAAAGATACCGCAATTTTATACTTAAATCTTCATTAGTTCCATATTCAACAGACAACCCTGCAGATTGAATTCTTCTCCATAAATTTTGACAGAAATGAAAAAAGCAACATTTGTTAACCGTATTAGAAAATTTAATTTGAGATGCTCTAATAATAGTCTGTTCAAAGTCAGACAGAATTAATGGTGGAGATAAAGAATAACCAGAAGTTTCACCTAATTCAATTAATTCTTGAAAAAAGTGTAAATAACTTTCTTCAGATTTATCTGTCATCAAGGCATAAACTATAGGAAAAATAGTTGCATTATTATTTCTACTAACTAAAGCATGTACTGTATATAGTTGTTGAAAAAGTATAGGCACAGTTTTAAATGTGCTATCTACAATCCAATAGTTGGCATTTTGTAAATACTTAAGATTTGATGCTATACAGAAAATTAACATTTTTTCTTCACCATATTTAATATCTTTAGCCAAAAATTGCTCATCATGGATTGTTTGATGTAAATTAATAGGAATATCAATTTCTTGTAATGACTGTGGTTGTGAAAGTAAATGTTTTTTTCTAACATAATTTATTTGTTTACGTAATGCATAGGTATTTGGCATATATGAATAAGAATTTTGCGGCATATTGGCAATTGTGTTTTGAATTATTTGTGCTGGGGGGTCTGAACTTCCAAAAGCTGTATTTCTCATTGAATTGAGTGTTTGAACTACT